CCACCTGGAGCTCGCGCCGGAGGGCGCGGTCCTTGCTCACCGGCGACGGCATCACGAGGTCGGCGGTCGGCGCCTCTGGCGCGCACTTTGGGCAGAGCCAATCGCCGTCGGGGACCTCCTCGAGCGGAGTCGGAAGGCAGCGCTGGTGGAAGGCACTGGTGCAGCCGAAGCCGTCGCAGAGCAGAATCGCGTTCCCTTCCGGCTCCTCCCCGCTGCCGCAGGTTTTGCACTTGATGGCAGCGGCGGCGGCAGCGGCGGCGGCAGCGGCGGCAGCGGCCGCCCGCGCCGTCGGTGGGTTGTAGGCCACTTTGAGGGTCGTGGGCGGCTTCTTTGCGGCGGCCTTCTTGGGCTTGCCGCCGGCTGCGGGCACCGCGCTGGCGGCGGCCGGATTGGCCGCGGCGGCTCGCGCCTGCTTCTCTGAGCGGTACTTCTTGCCGTCCGGCCCGATCCACGTATGGTCGGCGACCCGAGAGCCCGGCGGCCCGTTGGCGCGAGGCTTGGTCATCCGCGTCCAGCCGGGCCCAATGTCGCACGGTATGGGAGTCGACCACGGGATCTTCTCTGCCATCGCTGCCGACGCGAGGGCGCTGTCCAGGCCGGTGCGCCAGTCGCGCCGTTGCTCTCTGGCGGCTGCTCAAAAAAAAGAAGTGTGTGCGCGACGCACTGGGGCCGCATCGTGCAGGTGTGGACCCTGTCCTCCTCCCCTATCCCTCGTTTGGCTTGTCTGTTTTCTTTCTTTCTGGGGCCCCACTGGGCACGGGACTGGCGCGCACTGCCACTGGTAACGAAAAGAATTAGGTGCCCTGTAGGCTTGGCTGCAAAGGCCAAAGGGGATTTTTGTTGTGCTCCGCTTCTCCTTCTGAGAGTTTGTGTTTGACATTTGAGAGAGAGATTTTGAGACATGCCAGACAGAGAGAGAGAGAGAGAGAGAGAGAGAGAGAGAGAGAGAGAGAGAGAGAGAGAGAGAGAGAGAGAGAGAGAGAGAGAGAGATGTTGTGTGAGAGTTTAGAGAGAGAGAGAGAGAGGGAGAATACATTTTTAAATCCTCGCTCGCCGCCTCGCCCCTCCCGGCGGCGCGGCGGCGCCCGCGACGGGCGGCTCGCCCCACGGCGCACCCCGCCGCCGTAGGTACTCGAGGTGCTCGCCCTCCAACGACGCCGCGGGGGGAGGGCCGCGACCCGCTGGGCCGGCTGCCGCTAGCCGGCCGGCCGCT